AGGGGGGGGCGGGGGGTGGCTGGGGCGGGTCAAGGACAGCAAAACTGCGCGGGGAGGATTGATACGATTCATTAAACCGGCTGGTGTGTTCATCGTCAACTGGTACACGCACAGATACTTCGGACAAGCAGACGGAATGAGGGGACAGACTAATCCTTTACGGTGGGTTTTTCTTACCGGGGGACAAAGCCGTGAAGCTCTGCCTCACCGAGATGCGCCCTTGGCGTTCAGCGAGTGAACCCCGCACCCAGCCCAGTTCCCTGCCCCGAAGACGGCAGCGTTTCACCGTCGCCGCAGCTCCAGCCGCAGACAGCTGTGTCACGGGCAGCTAGGATGAGCAGAAGGTGTGAGCCAAGGCTCAGGCCTCTCGCTGTGGGAAAAGTGCTCTCTCCCTTCCCCTGTTTTATATTAAAGGCATCACAATTCCTGTTACCATCGTCAGGTTTTTAGTTTAAATCTCCAGGAGGTTGAGGTGGAGACTTAAACCCGGGGCAGGATGTCACGCTCCCAGTACCAGTCTCAAACGGACGCCAACCAGAGATGGCGCGTAGCCCTCGGAGCTCCCCTGTCCTCCGGGCCGCGGCCGTAGGGACCATTGCTGAGCGACCCACTTCCATCCCTGCCTCTTGGAGCCGGGTGCTGAGCTCGGCCACGTCCCGGAGGCGCAGGTATGTCCTCAACACCGCGGAGCAGAGCCACATGTCCTGTCCCAAGGACCTGCTCCAACAATAACCACATGGTAGGGAGCCTGAAGCAGCAGGGTAGAGGAGTTAAATTTTGCATGCTCTGATGCATTGCTGTAGGCTTCAATGTGCTACTTTGTTAGGTAAGTTTTGAGGGGTGAAGTAATTGCTTGATGCTGATTAAGTAGCAGCACCAAGAAATAAGATATCAGTAATGTGTAGGCAGTTGTTGAATAGGATCTTTAGTCGTTAATCTCAAGCTACCTTGAAAAATTTTAAAGAAAAACCATGCATTGAATATTTTTCTGGGGCTTTGAAAAGTGTTTATGTCTAGGTTTTCTATTTACAGGTCCATTATTGAATGTATACTTTGCCCCTAAATGAGAAGTGCAAAGATAATGAACGATAATCTGTCTCCTCGAAAGGGGCAGGCCTTTCCCCACAGACTGGGTTTGTATCTCCCGAGCTTGTTGCATTTTCCAGAGTTTAGCTGTCAGAACCTCAGAGAGTACGTCTCTCCATGGAGATTTGCTGTCTCCATTTGCGTGGTGGCAGGGGAACCACAGCGTGTGCCGAGATGAAGAGGTCCACGGTGCCTCCTCTCAGGTGTATGACACCAGGTATCGAAGTCTCATGTCTAACAGCCCATGGAATATTAGCATCATCGTAACTATATGACATTAACAACGCCGCTCGGTTCTCAAGCATTATTTTTCATCCACAGAAGCCACAGTGAACACTTGTCATCCTTTCATTGACCTAAAAACGTTTTCAGGTTTTAAATTGGACTGCATGAAAAGGGATCTACTTAATTGGGAAGTACCTGTATGCCTCATATCAAGAAATAACGCAATAAAACCTCCCCACCCCAAAACAGCAGAACCATGTGGTCGTCTAACTGCTCACCCCCCACCCACCCCAAACAGCCCCTAGAAGCGCTGCCAAGAAATTACCATCGAATACGTAAACCCTCTGCAGATCTGAGACACCCCTGTCCCTTCCTGGCGCTGGGGACATGACGTGGCGCTTAACCGTCTTTCGGATTTCTCAAGTTAAAGCCCTGCTGATAAACTGCCACGCCGATCCCCTCCCATGTGAAAGTCAAGCTGCATTTTGGATCCAAACGTGCTTATCCCACCCTTACCCAAGGAGCAACTTCCACATGACATGTACGTAACAAGGCAGCTGTTGAGGGACCCAAAATACAGGCACTGAGGATTCAGTGTGTGGCGTCTCACTGGTTTCCATACCAAGCACGCTCTGCCTCCCGTTAACACCAGCCGGCCTGAAAGCGTCTCTTTCTTGGATGCTCCCACCTTATTCCTGCCAGCAGTGGGAGATTTGGAAGGCCCAAGGAGGCGTTGGGGTGCAGCTGCACCTTTCGCCCTCGGCTCGTGCCCTCGCTGAAGCGCTGGGTGTATTTGCTGCAGACTCCGTAAGGTGGGTCACAGCTCAGCTCCACCAAGGCTGCGGAGGGGGGCGAGCAGGGTTGGGGAAGCTGGGCAGCCGCACGCTGCTGGGAGTAACGCCACCCGCAAACTGTCCCCTTGCAGAAACACGAGACTGGTGCTTTGGGGGAGTGGAACTGCAATTTGTAACCTCTGTCCACAAACCACAGAGAGCATTTCAGGAGGAACATCAATGCATCTCTGGTTACGGGAAGCGCTGACAACCAGCAACAATCTAGGGCAAAGTCAGCCCTGTCAAAACACGGCCTGTACAGCGGGAAGCGATCCTCAGCACTGAATCCACCGTCTCACAGCATGACCTACATTTTTTCCACTGAGCCTTCCGGAAAGGCAAAGGGTTTTGTTTCACGACCGAGTTCATACCTGACCTTGAATTAACATCAGGGTTACGTCCCAGTGCTGCATTTTCAAGGACAAGTGAACATTCACGCGGATTTACGAGTAAATTGAGCAAACACACAAACCCCTCCCGAGGCTGATTTTCGGTGAATTTCTGGAAAAGCTCCCGGACACCCGTTTCTCAGAAGAGCTAAGCCACGGATAGGTCCTGTACAGCGCAGGACCACAGAGCAGATGCCGTGCTAATCCTCAACTTCGCGCAACGGGGAAGAGGAAGTCTGTACGCCTTTAGACTATTTTGCTCCCTGCAGTCGTTACTGCGCTTTTATAAAGGGCAAACAACAAGTACTTTAGTATGAGAACTGTTCAAGTAAGTTTTAATAGAGTGCACCAGTGAATCAAGATGACTTGCATCAGATTTTGTTTCAATGAACATCAGATAAAAAAAGAAAAGGGGCTACAGTTCTTTCTTTCCAAACACCACCCTTTTTCTAAGGCAACAATACACGTCCATTTCCGAACATAACTGTTACAGAGGAAAGCTACATCACAGTACAGTATGTAAAGTCCATCTCCGTCAAGAAGCCATTAGAGAATGGCACATTTACTACACTTACAGCCTTCTAACTTAGGGTTACAGAGTTTACCACAGCTTTTTTTTAATTTTTATTTTTTTAAAGTGACAATTTCTTAATGAACTTTCTATTCTTCACAAGAGTGTGCAGATGGGGCCCATATGTTGATATTACAGTAATTACGACATTAAATAACATTGCACAACCAACCTCTATGGTTAATTCAGTACAAAATAACAAGTATTAAAATGTACCAGTACTAGTGGTTTTACATAGTTTATAATCATTAATGATGAAGGAAAAAAATGTGGGTGTTTTTTTTTTTTTCTTTTCTGTAGGCAAGTGCCTAATTACAAAGCTGCACATTACAGGCATGATGATGTGGAATAAATACAAGAAATCTGGTAAAATATTAAACACAAACAGGTTACATGGGAACAAACTGTACAACCACGAAAGCATAAATCAACAATTTATCATTATAAACAATGTATGTTTAGCTGTAAAATATTACACGGAGTTGCATGTACTCTTTGGGGGCACATGTTCCAAAAGCCGAGCTAATTCCTGAGGTGGTATTATTAACTTACACAATTGGTCAACACTTCAGATTATCTTGTGCTATTAAACAGTCCTAATATTAATATATTTCCATAAAATGGAATTTGTAGTATTCTGAAGGCAGCAAACAAGTGATATTTTCTACCATGATATTCAAATGAAATAATTACGGTTCTCCATTTTGGTGCTACATTTGTTAATGGGCCGTGGGAGCCAGCGCTGCAACCGGCGGACAGAACATCACCTACGCCCGGTTTCTGTTCCCCCACAGCTCTCAGCTGGCCCAAGGCAGAACAAAGTTTTAAACTGTAAGTGCCAACACTGTAAACATGTTCGTATTTTTTTGTTTTCCAACTAAACACTGTCCAATAACAAGGATAAGAGCCAAAGATAAGCAGGAACAGTCTTGTGTAGAACAAAAGCCGATTATTCATCGACTTCTGGTTCAAACCATGAACAAGCTTTAAATAATTAAAATGGTCACGCTACAGTTGTGAAAGCTATTTTTGTGCATTTGACTCAGGACACGAGTTTTTTAAAAAAATGCATGATAGAGGTAAGACTTATAAAAACCACCAAAAATGTAAATGATAGGGAAGGACTTTTCCAACTCAAAGCATCAAACATACATTTCTGTGCAGAAATCTAGACAACTATACAAGATCTGAATTTAAGCAGTCATCTTTTTATTATACAACTCTATGAACATAAAATGAACAGAATGCTCTATATACTTACCTGTACATGTGACCATAACTTCTTTAGCTACAGTTATTTAATATAGGTCATACTGGATTTAACTTTACAATTCTGAATAACTATGTATAACCTTATTGCAATAAGGGCAATTTCTACACGGGGAGTTTCACAGGCCAATCACATTAGGCGTAACCAGTACATTCAAAGTGTAGATCATATACGAATCTTCCCTGATCCCAAAAAATTCAGGTTCTCTTTACAGCTTAAGCTCGTTGGCTATCTTGGATGCAATGTTCTTAAATGCAATAGAAGTCCCAGATATTCTCTTGAAACGAACTCCATTGAGCGACAATCGTGGCAGTTTGCAGACTTCCATCTCCCACTGAACAAGGCTATCTTGTCGTGCATCACCGTGAACACAGAAGAGCAAAAACCTCTCTTTTTGTTCATAATCACAGTTATTAGCGTCTAACACTTTCCGAATCTCTCTCATCATATCGTTCGGGTCCATAGAACTAGTGGTCTTCATACTCCACGTGAACCGCAAGGACCGTGGCTTCGAATCTTTGCCATCCTCCTTCTCTCTGTCTTTTGGCTCCCCAGAAACACTCCTGGAAGAAGTGATACGCAGAACAGTCAAAAACAAAAGCAGCACGGCCAAGAGACAGAAGAGAAATACAGTTCTGGAACAGGGGTTTCTAAACTGCGCCTGACACACTGCTAGTCACGCGCACGCTAAGTTAGATGGATACTGCTGGAACAGTCGTGCGCCGTCTCCTACACCCGCGTGCCCTTCGGCGCAGCACTGCTGCACCTCCCAGCAGTGGCACACAAGCAAAGCAAGTTTGGAAACCCCTGCTCTGGAACGTTCTGATGACAACATGTGCAATGGGAACTGCAGCAGACACACGTTACTCCATACTGCTCCAAAGAAAGTGGAATCTATGTGAAAGCATGACTGAAGTTCTGCTGATTTCATGATCTGGAGCATGCCATACACCAACAAAACTGAAGTTGAGGGACACAATCCTCAAGCATAAATCATACTGTAAAAGCAGCAGAGGAAGAAACCCCACCCTGCGATTCACAAGTCCTCAGTTAATTCTCTTCCCTCTTCTCCATCTTTCCCCGCCTTCTGCATTTATTATGTATTTTTGACCTCTCTCTGTGTAAAAAGACCTTATAATAATAATGTGCTTTAACTGATGAAGCAGAACTTTGCACTGCAGTTTGGTCATCAACAATTTGTTTGCCAACCAGTTGAACACACAGCCAGCAGCTTTTCCACAGAAGAAAGAGTGACATGTAGACACGAAGTATTTTAGCTGATACAATGACCTGGACAAAATTTAAAGGGAGTAATTTCCAACAAATGTTCTTACTCCAATGCTTCCTTACTGAACAGATTATTTATTCCATTGTGGAAAGCATTTTGAGAAACAGCACTCATGATTTTAAAGTAATTCCAGAGCCAACTATTTCTGTTCTTGTCCCAGGTACTTAAGATGCCTGATGACTCCCCATCTGTCACTGGGGAAAGGTGCTGTTCCCATTTTGACTGTCTATAAACTGTTGCTATTCAGAGAGGAGTCAAAACAAGCATTTTTAATTTAACTTTCAGTGTGATCCCCAGAGAACCACATCGATATTAACAGATAGAGCAGGGCAGGGATAAGATCTCAAACGACTTTTAGCCCAAAACAGACACTGTAGGGTGACAAAAAGTAGAGGAAGCTGGAGAATGAAAGCAAGAGCTGAAAGCAACTTCACACTTCATTTCATTTGAACATTTGATTAATCTATTTTCCCCTTCCACATCAAGAATTTGACAGCTAATAGACTTCGAATTGAAAAGGGCTAATGTAGATAAAATGCATTGTGTATTATACAATGTATCCTGTTAAGAATGTGCTGCTTTTTTTTTAAATAAAAGCTTTCTGTTTCAGACTCTAAGTCAATACTTTCTGTAAGTGACCAGTTTAGAACGCAAACTACAATGCCTGTTCATTAGAGAGCATAAAAATAAAAAGTTATGCACTGTGCTAAGCACACCAAAAATGCAGAACTGAATGCTGAAACATGGCAAAAGAGCAGATATACTGGAAAATGAGCATATGAAGGAATGCTTGATTACTAACAAAGCATCTGTACGTTTGTGTACAGCAGTTGCCATACAAATGCAATGTTTAGCAGTCACCACCCTTTTTGTCTGAATGTCACTCATTTTATTTCCCAGTGCAAAATGACATTCATTTCTCAGGGACTGTAAGGTGTTTACTTTTGGCAAACAGCAGCTTTAGTAATGAACACCGTATGTAACTATAGTAAAAATTTAATATATACATATATACACAGAGACAAACACCAAGTATGCTACATTTTCCACTGAAAACAAAAGTAAACACCATTAAATAATTATAAGCCACAACATGATTTTATGCGCATAAATGATTGGTTAACTCCTACAGCGGGCTTCACTATTTAAAGGAATATGATTAAATTAATTTTTTTATTAAATACTTCGCAAGAAAGCAAAAAAGAGGGATGAAGGACCTCACCAAAACCCCCTCCCCCCCAAAATAAAAAACATTTTTGAAATGCAGATTACTTAAGCACTATTCTATTTTACATCCTGATTAAAAATCTTTAAGAAATCACTTAAACCTTGATGCGAAAGACCTAGGAGCGAAGTATTAATAGTGGCTCCTCACCTTGAGGTGTCAGTTCTGCCACTGGCTTCGCCTTCACTTGGATCCCTCAAAACAAAGTTAAGGTTGAGATTCAATGATAAAGGTGAAAAATAAAAGTTAAGAAAACCTACATCTAGAACAATGTTAAATAGCTACTGAACAAAAACCTTAAATCAGTATAATAATGTCAAGCCTAATACTGTTAAATAGTATTTTTTCACAGCTGTAATTTTATTTTCCCTTTATGACACCTTAAATTCTTTCAGCTCTGACGTGTAATTGTTTGATGTTTTTCTTAAACTGATAGTAAAATTAACAGGTTGTTCTCAACCTACTGCAGACAGAGCAACGGCCGCACGTAATTCCAGCAAGCACAGAGGAGCAGTCAATCAAGACGGTCCAGGGGGGCTCCACTCTGCTGCCTTCTGGGCCAGGCCTTCAGACCTCAGTCCTGAAAGCACTTGGAGCCATGCCCATGCTTAAGCACACTCAAGTGATTAAAGATAAAATGTGCCTTAGAGTTTGTGAGACCAAACGTTTGGAGCCCGGTTCAGAAAGATTACTTCAACATCTGCTGAACTTGAAGCAAATCAGCCGCTACACTGACTTTGGTAAGACTACTGGGGAGCCGGAGGTTAAACATATCTCTATCTTGTTGAATTGGAGCTGCACTTTACCAACGAACTGTTTTGTATTACGCCTTTTTAGTCTGAAGCAACTTGAAAAATATCCAAAGTTCTTAGTGCTGCTGTACAAATATGTTAGCGCCCAATTTCAATTAGCTAATTAATTTAATACCTTCAAAACACAAATACTTTAGTAACTAACATCAGAGAGGTATCATTTGACATAAACCGTTGATATAAAATACTCCAATACCCTCATCATTAAGCATTGTCATTATGCATTTATTTTACATACTTACCAGAAAAGGCATTTACCTTTGCCAAAAGACAGTAAAAAAGAAGTCATTCATGACACCTTCTAATCAAAGTATGCTTTAAACCATTATTTCCTGAACGGTACAGAAGTTAAAAGGCATGCAATTATGTGATCCAACTAAAAGAAGAGCAACCCTCCTCGAACCTCCACCCATGTAATCCCATCCACTGAAAGTCTTAAACAGCCCAAAGTTTGAAAAAACCCAAAACCCAACAAAAAAATCCAAACCCAAACCACCACTAACCACCCCTCCCCCCAACAAAAACCCTAGAAAGCCTTCACTACAGGAAAATGTATTTTTAACAGTATAAAACATCATAGGAAAATGTATAAAAATGTTCTAAAGATGATTTTAAAAGACATAAATTTACAGTATGTTAACTCTAAATATATAGTTTACAATATTATTTTAATATTGTAGTTTAACATAATGCAAATATTAATTCTTTTATCTGACTCTTCAAAAAAATTCAAGATTCCATTCCTTGCAAATAACAATGAGCTGTAATGCAAAAAACCAGCCTGTGCTCTTGAAATTCGTTAGTTACTTAACAGAAAACACCATTCTTCCCATTTGGAAATCTACACTGACACCACAGTTGAATAACTTTGCTGTAACTTTTTTTTTTTTCTTTTTTTAAAACCAGAGGACTGACTCTCTCCCCCCAACTACCTAAGTGCCGGAGATACCAATATTGGAGGATCATAGTCCTGTTATCTTCAGGCTTCTGAAAAAAGAAAATCATTCACACTTTTTTTTAGGTCATTACAGGAGGTATTACTTAGACACATGCTGACGCACTATCAGCCCACCAGGTTAAATGAATTTTATGAGGAACACCACTGCATTTCTAGCCTCTCTCTTCTTCTCCCTTGTAATAACACCTTACGCAATTCATGATATTTTACTTATGAATTTGCAACTACTAGTTTAATCTAGCTTTGAATTTATATGTTTTTTAAAACAAAAATGTGATTTGTGAATTCAGTACATAATAGCATAATTCTGCAAAGAAAATAGAGATTTTCAAGATATAATTCTGTTGTAAAACTGACAATAATGCAGTATGGACACATCCATAAGGAGGCTTAAGAATTATAGGTAAATCACTGTTAGAAAGATGCAAACTAAAAATTAAGTCCCATTTTGGGAAAGCTGTTGTGACTGCTAAGTCAAGAGTCACTTGTTAAACAGTGGATTTGGAAATCTTTCCCAGCACTTCTCCTCCCAGTACGATTACTGTTAGCATCATCACAGGAATGAACGCAGGTCCAGGATGTGTGGATTTTCTTCTTTCAGAATCCTGAGCTTACATTTGAAGAGCTGGTAACGTGACACCAAAGGCTGCACGACACTAAAATATTAGTATTTCCAGACATTCAGACTTCTGCTCACCTCTAAGCTTCTCATTTATTCACAGATTTTAGAATTCCCTGAAATAATTCGTTGGTACCTATTCCCTCTGAGCACAGAAAAAAAAAAACCTGTTGTAAATATAGCTCTTGCAAGAAACTGCACCCAGTTAAAAAAGTAAAACATTGTTAACATTAAATAAAGATTCATTTTTAAGTCACTACTTTCAGTATTTAAGTTCATCTGATTTTAACTTAATTGTGGTATCTCTGTTTTTTAGCTGTAAAGCACGAATAAAAACCCGTTCTCTTGCTCCTTTAACATAAAGAAGCAGGATAGCTGGTCAAACCTAATAGTTACAATACACACAGAGAAGTAAAACAAGGCAGGTTCTGAAAGGAACACACAAAACAGGCAGCATTCTAACTAAATTTACATTACTTCAGTCTTAAACTGGAAATTGACTTCACAATTAAGGCCCTAAGTTATAGGCTGGGCTTTTTTTTTTCTCTTAGAAATCGAGGTACTAACCTGCGAACAAACTTGGAAGTTATCTTGCTTATTATACCAGTTGATGTCCCTCTTCTAGCATGTGCAAAAGCACCGGTTTCATGTGATGGTGAGGCGGGCGGTCCATTGTAAGTGGCATTACGCCGCTCCCTTAGCTGCTCACCATGGAAAGTGCTTCGACTTGAACTCCCCCGAGGAAAGCGGGTTCGGTCTGGAGTGGTAGTGCTAATACTATGAGCAGACGGGGAAGCAGCAGGCACTCTTTGAGTTGCACTGCTGGGAAAACAGAAGCATAAATAAAGAGAAAGACTATACTAGAAACCCTCCTACATGACAACCATTTCTCAAAGATAGGAAAAAAATACCCTGCTTTTGATTCTTTTTTTTAAAACCTGAATCTGCTACTGATTTGCTTTTGTGATTCATACTTAGCAATAATCAAGAGATATTTTCATTATAGAATCAAATTATCCCAAGTATTAAGAGCATTTTTTAAAAAAGCACACACAGATGGTACAACAAAGGAAAAAGGTAGAAAAGTCTGTAGTAAGATCTGAAAGCGTTCCCAGACCTCTTCCGGACAAAATATGTTCATCAAAACCTTTATTCACGCAAGCACTCCAAAAACTTAACAGGTATTTCTTAAGCAGTAATCATCTGGCACAAATAAATTTATACAGCTATGTGGGCAGTTAATAATAAGAGCAACTATACTATGGTGCTTTTAGACAGAAATGAAGCTTAGCAATCTACAAAACCAAGAGGTTATCGTTTCAGTATTTCATTTGAATTTATGGTGGTCTGTGCTCTGTACAGTCCTGTCTAAATTAGTTAATTTTTTAACTAAAGTTTTCCAGAAACTTCCAGAGGGAGGCAGTCAAGGAACTTCTTTAACTGCATGCAAACATGTATGATGATCAAACTCAAGCTTCAATTATCTGTAATACCCACACTATTTGAATAAGAAACTGTTTTGAAACAGAATGCAACTTGAGAGTTGTTAATAGATTACAAACATACTGAAGTATACCATGAACTGAACAACAACATTTTTAAAGTGCACAGCATTAAAGACCTAATAATCAATTTATTACCTTGGTCGGTAACCTTCGGTGCCATCTTTGATGGTTGGCAGTGTAACTTTTATAGGATGACCAGAGGCAGACATGGACTTCTGATGCCGAGGCCGCGTTGATACAGCAGACACCACTGCAGAGCCTGCAGAAGATGTGCTACTTGCAGACATTTCTGTCAGGCTTTTACCACGCCAGCAAGGCAGGAGGGATGGACAAACAAAAAGTGAAGTTAGTGTAAAACCCCACAGAAAACAGGGAAAATAACAACTATTTTTTCTTTTAGAATATAGCAAGTACTGTTTAAATAACCAGAAGACCGAGTGCCCAGGCTGCCTTAGTCAGCTAAAGAATACAGAATTCTGATAAAATTATGTTAATCCATAAATCAAATCACCATATACATCAAATTAGGCCTTTTCACACCTCCGCAGATTAAAGCTTACACACACATTATTCAACGCAATGAAGAAAGACTACACACAGTACATTGAAATAGTAAAAGACTACAAAGAGTAATAGTAAAAAATAGCGACAAAGAAATTTGCAAAAGACTTAAATAGACTGATTAAATAGACTCTCTATTTGGGAAATGAATACCCTTATTGTCAGTTAAACACCTAAAACTTGAAACATTTGGAACTGCTGTCACATTATCACCTGAAAGGAACTGGTTTTTGGTGGTACTTCTCTGGACTGTCCCAGCCACTGCTAGGCTGTCCCAACCCTTTCAAAACACAGCTCCTTCTACCAGTACTTTTATTTCTGCTTAGCCTAAGTGGCAAGGAAGGGGTGAAAGTAGTGCCAAAACTATTGTGTTATTAATTTTTAAAACCAAAGTCAAATGACTTAAGCCAAATTACAGCTTTGCCTCTACAAGCATAAATGAAATTGCATTAATAATACATATTAGCAATAACAGACCCAAAGCTAAAAAATATCTGTAGCAAAGAGGTAAAGATTTTGGATGAATAATCCAATGACACAAGACGTTCAGCTACACCAAATCCAAATCCAGCTGCAACACAATGTATTGTAGGAAAGGCAACTCAAAAGAAAATTTTTCTCCTTCATTTTTCAGAATATGCTCAAAGAGCTGAGCATATTCGTTGTACTGATGAAAGCAAAAGGGATTAAGAGTCGTCTGTCTTTTTAATACTAGAGAAAAAAATTAAATATAAACTGTAAAATGAAAAACTTTGAAATAAAATCCCTTCTCATTATAGTGTTTTTTGTATTAAACCTATTGAAAGAAAAACTTTATCAATCTTTGCGAGATCAGAAATGTTACTTTAGTACATATTTCAACCCTAAATCGAAAAGAGATATGTTCAAATATTTTAAACCATACACAAAAAATTGGAAAGACACTTCTGAAAACATCCATATAATAATTTGAAATTATTTTAACACTGAAAAGTAGTTTTCTGCTTTTTAACATACCTCCTTAAAGCAATTTAAATAGCTATACTTTACATGGTCCATAGCTCAGTTTAATATAGATCAACAGCCCTATACTCTTCCTATTTCCAAAATTAAATGCATCATTAAAAATTTCGAGCCCTAAGACAGAAGACAAAACCAAATGAGTTTACTAGATTATGCTATTTCACACTAGGGATTTTTTTTGTTCATTTTACCCTAACTGTTTTTATTAAATAGAAAAACAACAAAAAAACAGAGTAGGATCTATTGCTTCAAATGAAAGAAAAAAAAAATCCAGCTTTTCTTACTCTCTATTAAAGCAAACATTTTTCAGTCAGGTAGAGGGGTTAACTAACACCAAGGATGAACAAAGAACAGGTTTTAAAAAAGTAATTGTGGCAGTGTTAAATACAATAGTATTCAACAAAACACACTAAACTGAGTGTAATTATCATCCCACATACAGATATAATTTGGTTACCATCACCACTAAAATATTATTTAGGCCAAAAAATTATATCAAAAAGGATTGACAGGTCTTAACAATTTCAACTCCGAGTGATTACTAGGAGAAATGAAAAAGGATCAGGCTACACTGTTAGGGCGATCCATCTGAAGTTCTCCCCAGCAGGACTGCCTACTTAGCTGTGAGCACAGTTACTTTACTCTGTGTTGGAAGATAACCCTTGGTAATAAATGTGATTTCATAAAAAGAGGCAGATGCACACATTTAGTTATAAATTTCATCACAAACATAGAAACTGCGGTGGAAGACAAGATGGAAACATACAGTCGAACTTTCTGTATTTCAACCCATACTTCATAATGGTATTGATTAATCGCATAACCTGTTTCTTCTATGCCTCAGTTCTTGTACCCAAATTAATAAGCAAGAAAAGCTGAAGAATACCTGTTGTCCTTCCCATTCTGTATTGCAGAATACCGATCTGAAGAACGTTCACAAACATAAGTGTTCCTCCTTGTCATTCCAGTACCAGAAAATACGTTATTCTAGAAGAAAATCAAGACTAAAATTAAATACTTTATTGTACTGTATATTATGTTGTGCAAAAACATAAGCATTGGAAGCAAATAAAAACATAAGTTTCAGCTGTTTATGTACATTCTTAACGCCTTCAAATGTACTAGGTTAATCTGTTGACACAAATCATTTATAGCATCCGCTATTTTTTCCAATAGCTCATTCACCATCTCATTAGTGTACCATTGAGTGTATGCTAAAAGAAAGCGCAGAGAAATTTCATTTTGCTGACACTTCCTTTACTAAGCATTATTAGCCAATTCCCACACACTGTGTTACAGAATTATTTGTCTCTGGCATCAAAGGAACTAACCAGAACCCCAGAGAACACATCTATCTGGCTGCGTGAACGGCTTTCCCTGTGCAGATTAAATTGCCAACTAGAGCTCCAGCCTTACAGTTTGCTGTCCCCTGCCAAAAGACTTTTCAGAAGAAAAATGAGAAGGTTATCGATCTGTGTCAGTCAACCCAGACATTGTGATGCAGATAACATGGCAAACAGGTCTTGCAGCAACAAATAACGATGGGACTTAGTTTCTGTTACTAATTTCAGTTTGCACACACTTCATAAAATACCCACATTCTCCTCCTCCTGCTACGCACAGATTAGCTTTCAGTACATGACATACAATCCTAGTTTTTAATACAGGACAACTTATTGAATTTGGGGTGGGAGAGGTTTGCAAGGTGCTAACATTACATACTGATGCATGCTGGCAAAATATTTCACATACGCTAAACTCGGTACTGTAGGACATCATGAACTCTGCAAGATTTACTGTGTGTTTAGGTCTCCCTTATCGACAGCTTTTCAGCATTAGTATCACCCCGCAGAGACTACTGAATAAACTGTTTCAAAGCCAATTCGTAAGGAAGATTAACAACTGCAGTAACTGTTTTTGAAATTAAACTCTCATAAGAAAGACTAATATGACTGAAGGTGATAAAAATGTTTTTCAAGAAATCCTGCCTGCCCTAACACCATGTTACCCTCAAAGTTACACAGAAGTATTTTAAAAATTATCCACATTAAATTAGCTATGTTCATTTTAAATGTTTGAGTTTAAAAAAACAAATTCACTTTTTTCTGTGTAATCTGCTCAACCTTAACTACTGTTGCAATATCAGACACCACTGCTCCTTAATGTGCCCATCACAAAGCCTTTCAAACTCCCCGAAAATAGTAACAGAGCTAAAAATACACAAATACTGAAGCTGCCATTAGCAAGTAAATCAATTTCTCATTCTTCATAGCAAAATGCTCCATTTAATTAGTTCTCACAAAGCAGAGAAATGCTTTTGACATATCAGCTTGTACCATACAGGACTGTAATCAGCTTTGGGGCAATATAGTTTGAGAAAGCTTAGATACGAAATCTAATCTTAAAAGACTCAAAGTTCCTGCATGCAATCCACATAATTTCAAAGACTTTGGGGGTGGGGGAAACTATTTGAAATTAAAAAACCCACCACATTTAAAGTATCTGTGGATGCATTGCAGACACAGCCTTCAGAACATTAAGAGTTAAATCAACTTTAGCATTTATTTTGTTTAAAGAGAATTCTAGCAGAAATGCATATCATCTTCCCAGAATACCCAAGATGGGAGCCAGCACACAGAATCCCAAAGGACAATGAGAATTCCTGTTGCCTGTCTAATACACTAAAAGATGGCCAGAATTTTTGTATTTAATACAGTGTGTCTCCTAAATAGCAAAAAGTATACTTGAATCTCAAATTATGATTCATGTGGGTTTTTTTCTTTCTTTCTTTTTTCCACATGAACTCTTGCTCCTAGGTAGCTGTTTAAACACTACGCAATATTTTTTCATTGCGTGAGTTAAACACTGATACTACTGCATATGAACTTCCACAAGGCAAAGTGTATGCTTTCACATTAGGAGAGACAGACTCTCCTATCTGGAATAAAGACGTCTGAGGCAGTAATATGATAGCAGTTTAAAAAGCTACGAATGATATCATAACAGAAGAACTAGCAAATTGATCATTTCTTAATACAAGGACCAGGCTGTAACTGATAACGTCAACAGGCACACACAGCAGGGAATAAGTGGGTTGTTCTCCATCACCTCACCCCTCTCTGAAGTCCAAAATTAAGTGGTTTCAGAAAGCTAAACAGATACACTTAGAGAGAAAAAGTTTATGAAGGACACTACGTAGGCTTATTCACATGAAATCTCCAATTCAGGAAGTCCCTTGACTTCCTTGTATGTACACAAGCATTAGAAACCAGAAAAAGAACACTTCATCTTGACAGATCTTCAGTTTGCCCAAGTGCAGACATTCTCGTGCTTACTGTTATGTTAGTCTCAGAAAAAGTGAAGTTGTGGGGGGAAGGGAAAGGTTTATTTAAAAAGACATCCACTGTAGCATATTTCTGTCTGCCAGTAAAAGTTACCAGAAATAGATTTAGTGGCTTATTCAGTAACCATTATGTCTATAGTAACCTTATGCTGCAGATTTTGTTTAAATAGGGAAAAATAAATATAACAAGCGAAAAGTGCATGCACTTACACTAGGAACTGTAGTTGATTTCTTTCTTTCTGGACCCACAAGTGGACTCACAGCCATCTCTCCTTTGGATCCCACAGTAGTGCTGCTAAGTTTGCGTGAGACATCTTTGTCCCAGTCTTCTTTCTGTTCACTTTCCACGCTATTTGCCTGAGCCCTTTTCGTGTATGACACAGCAGGAGGAATTGAAGGACCAACTGCCAAATAAAACCAGTAGTAATAAATACCTAAAAATAATCACTGCATTTTTCTTGGCCAAAATAGTCTAAATATAATTCTCTGAGTCCAAGAAATGCATTTAAACAAATATGACTGCAAACTCAGCACATATACCAACCTATTAAATTGAGCTTTGAAAGTCTACATTCTTTTTACCCACTCTCTCTTCATTACCAATTTGCAGTTCAGAATTAGTTCCCATTTTGTATCAATATGTAAAACCTCGCAGAGCATTTTAATTCTCATTTTAAACCCATGCAACTTATGCAATATTATGAAAAAGGGAATTAGAAGATACTTTTCATTTTTTTTATTTTAGTACTTTTTGCTACGTATCTTTTCCTCTAGACTCTGTGAAAGATATTTTTCCCTCGAAAACCCTAAAACTACTCTGTTTAAAAGCATGTTTATACTTGGAAAAATTAAAGTTCTTTCTCCCTCATCATTCTTTAAAGTGCTTTGGGGCAAATCCTCCATCAGTAGAATTTTACATTCTCTTGAAAGAAAGTCACACCAGCTGCTTATCTTCACAATATTGGTTACTTTTTTGGAAAAAACAACACAACACTAACACAGAGGGAGAACAGCATTAGGGAAAAAATTAGAAAGAACAGCGTAAATTAGGCAGAGAAAAGGGCCAAACATTTACTTTCACCTGAAAATGTTTCCTGAATACTTGCCAAAATTGTTGTCTCTGTGAAACAATTTGGCCCCATCTCCAAATGTACTGACAATGGTTTGCAGCCTTTGAGTTTATCCAGACCAATATTTTGCCATTACTTCCTAAACAGGAAACATCCTCAAGCTCTTATTTAGTGAATCAACCAAGTAACAAGTGCAAAAAAATAAATCTATAAATTACATTGAGCTGTATTTACCATAGAAGCGTTCATACAAATAAAAGCATCACAGTGGAGCACGATGAGATACACAACAAATGCACAGAGCGGTGGACCTGCCAGGTTCACAAAACACTGCACATTCAGACTTAAATTGTGTATGTTACTTTACTTGTTGGAATGTCATCCCCACCATGATCACTGAACCGCCGCTGTTTCTGATTAGTTGATATACTCCGCTGGACCTTCAGGTGAGCAGGAGACTGCACAGAACTGTTGTTGAGGTCGCTGCTAGGACGAGACCTTTGACCCAAGTTGCTGCTGGACAAGGACTCGCCTCCTTCGAACTACAAGAAAAACAGTTTTTCAAAGCATAAACAAAATGCAACATTACTGATACTCTTACCACATAATAAAGCGAAGAGTTCCAATCAAGGGCATTTTTTTAAAATTTAAAATTGTATCCAGAGTTTTGTTTTCTTCAAGGTTAATTTTCTCACTTCAGCTGTGTTTAGTGTGGTTTAAAAAACACACAGCTAAAGCTAAGGCGGCAATGAATGCTCAAAATGAAATTAAAAAATGGTGCTATTTTAAAACCCAAGCTGAAGAATGGCTCCCCCCCCCCTTTTTTTTTTTTTTTTTTTATGGTTAAAAAAGCAAATACTACTTATTCAAGTTTTTTTTTATGGCCTTCAACACATCTTTGTAAGGTCTGTAAGTCAGCCACAGATTTGCTGGTATCTAAGCAGCATAAGTTGTAACATAAATAACAGCAGTGGAAAAGACAAATATCCTCTTCCAAGCAGTTTGACTCAAAATCAAAGTCAGGTTCCCTCCATGCTCTGCCATCACAGGGGAATTCTGGTTCAGAGATGCTGTGGGAAAATGCACTCAAGGATACACATATCAGATCTACACTATCTTGGACATGAAGGAAGGCCAATGAAGCACCAGGAAAAGAATTGCTTCAGAAAGAAAGTCTTGATCTGAGCTTGATTTCTGAAAACTCCCTGTGGTCCCAAAAGATCTACAGATCCCTCTAGTTCCAAAACAGTCAAAAGATTTTTCTACCACAAATATATTAATGACTACAATGAAATTATTTATTAAATAATAAAATATAATATAGTAGACGAGTGAAAAAGGATGAGTACATTTCTGAGAAACAAAGGATGTCATATCTTAATAGAAGAATAATTGCTCTAGTCAAATTAACTATTTCAGATTTTAACTGTAAACACACATGACAGGAGGACAACTCAGCACTTAAAAGTTATGCCACTTCAGATTAACAGCTAGCTTTTTAAAAATGCAATTCAATATATTTACAAGCAAATGCAGAAGGTACTATGTTAATTCTATTTATTCATATGGGAACTAGCAAGATATCCAAGAACATATGAAAAGGAGAAGCCATTACTAAGTTATTACAATTTTTTTTTAAAAAAGATGTTACAAAGTAGTTCATGAAAACATCGACAACTACCATATTCAACCCAGCCAGATATAAATGCCGAAATACAAGATGTAAATCAGGTAGCACTTACTTCAGGTGGTTTTCTACCTAGAAGCAGGTAAGTAGCCATGACTTCATCGTATTTTTGGTTTACTAAAGATTCATGGATTTCTTCTCTTGAAAAGCCCATTGTGACCATAATGTCTAAAAGTAAAAAGAGCTAGACACGTTAGCAGATTGAGTGCTTGGGTTTACTGACAACTTAAGAACAATGAAAATAGAAAAAACTCTTATAATTTAACAGGTAACTAGGATTCAACTCAACCAGCGTCCTCTGCAGTGTGCAAAATCAAAAAGGCTACGACTCCTCTCTTTCATTGTTATTTCCTTCTTGAAAACTCTCAACTATGTTATTCAACATAGTTCAACATTATTCAACATTAAATGTTATTTAACAAACAAATAAAACACCAGCAAACTATGAACTACTACAAGGCCAACATAGTATCTTTCTCTGACGACAGCAGATAAAAATTCTTGCCCTCATAACAAAAGCTGTTTCGTTCTGCCTTTGAATCCTGTAATCGTATTTGTCTTTTGCTGTGCTTGTAGATTCATGTCAACTCAGTGAAGTCACAACAGTAGCTATAAGGAGGGCACTGTAATGAAATTCCTCATTTAAATAAAACATTTTATTTTTACAATGAGATTGTATCTCAAATTCAATAAAAGAGCTTAGCTTGACTTACCAGATAAAATTGCCTACGAACATCAGATGCGACATCTTTACAGAAGTCTTACCTATTCTCTTGGTGTCATTAAAATCTGGTTCAGGCTCAGTATATGGCTTTAGTTCTTCTTCTTCATGGCCAACATTCATCCACCGATCCTTCATAATTTGCTAAGAAAAGAAATCAGCTTTAGGTCAATATGCTCTTTACCATACCCAATTAAATCTGTGCCAGCTGGTCTGGAAAAAACCAACTTAAAATTCATAATCATCTGAATGCTGCTCTTTTCCTCCCACCTTTTCCCCTCACATCTTACAGTTTGTTCTTTCATGTTTCATATCCTTTTGTTTCCAGTAGTTAGTTCTCCCCTACTATTTACCCTTTACAATACAACTCCTCACCCAAACACCAGAAAAACCACTGGAAGAAAAAACCTGCACTTCCAACACACAAAAAAAAATCTTTCATTTTGTACCATTCACTTCCACTGTCTCTTAATCTGCCCAGAGAGGTTGTGGAGTCTCCTTCTCCGGAGATATTCAAGACCCGCCTGGACAAGGTCCTCTGCAGCCTGCTGTAGCTGACCCTGCTTTGGCAGGGGGGTTGGACTAGATGACCCACAGAGGTCCCTTCCAACCCCTACCATTCTGTGATTCTGTAATCTCATCTTGCTGAGTGCCTGACACTCATGCCCTAATCTTGGTTAAGATCCCTACATGTTACTAGAATACCAACATACCAACTTTATCACAGTAAGTCACTCCTTCAAATAATAACAAAGGAAATGTTTAGAAACTAAGGAATATTTCAGCTGCGTGCTGATGCTTCCCACAGTCATTTGTTTCAACACCGTGGTGCCAACTGGTCATTTCTTCCTATGGATCTTCTCACTGCACTTGACCTAAATCTGTTCACAGTTTGGCAGGAGGGAGAAATGCCTCTTAATTCTCTCTATGCCATGCAGATATTTACTTCTAAATTTCTCCTGCATTCTTTGGAAAATTCCCTTCTGCTGTGGCCTGGATCTTTTATATGCCTGCAAGACTGATCAGCTGGAATCCCTAACCACCACAATTTCTCCTTAAGGACATATTCATCTCTTAAAACAGCTAAAAAAATTTTCACTCCTACAGCAACAGGCACACACGCCTCTTTAGGGACAGATGCTAATATTGCTTACTAGATTGACACAGAGTGAAACAAGTGCCAGCAAGTCAAGAAACCCACAGGCTCCAAATATGCCTCACAAACACCAAATTAAGTTATTTCTCACAAAGAGTAAAAGACTTGATTTTCCATTAATATAACCAAATTCTTTCTGTGTAGTGCTGCTGCCAAATTACAGACCCAAATAGCTGTATCCTTACAAGAACAATACAGAACTTTGTACTTGGGCCCGTTAACGTTTTGCTGACAATAAGACTTAAAGATTTGTTCAAAGTTCTGCCACAGCACTGTTTTTTTTGCTTTTGAGGGGAATAAAGGAGAAGGGATTGCAAACACATACTGCTATATTGCATTTCTGGCACACAGAGCATGAGTCTATTTGACAATAGACTTTGGTTATGCATTTGTAGTCGTGCAAAAACAGGACAGACTCCCCAAAGAGTACTATGCAGTATATGCAATTACAAATATTTAAAGATACTGTTTAGATTTAATTAAATGTAAGTTTTAACCATGATGAGGTGTTTGGATGATAGGAATCACACCGCTCAAATTCTACCTCCCTTTCTTGAATTAATAGGCAAACTCAGCAGTTCCAACTTCACAGTTTTTCATGTCTCTTCAGTAAGTGTATCTATAGTTCAATGTAGTCTGCTCTAGGTTTCCATCTGTTAACTATCTAAACTCTTGCTAACTTCTGTCTTTTAAATACATGATCTCATAGGCCTACTGAGTTATCGTACAACTCTTAAAACAGGATCTTACAGTCAAGCATTTTGAAGTGACACAAACGATCCAATTCCAGGATCAACACTAGATCTGTGTAAGTTCAGCTGGGCTTCCAGTCAGCTGATTAAAGAGCAGCAGCTTTGGTCAGGGTAATTAAAGATCTGACCCAAACTGTATTTCTTAAAGATAAACCCAAACTGAATTTCAACCAACTAGATACTATTGATGAGCCTTCCATCAATTTTCAGGAAAACTATCTAACAAAAATCTGGCCTGGCTCAAGACCTGTCTGTCTCAAAATTACTTGTTTTCTTACTTTTTGTAAACATAAATCTGCATTTATGCAGATTTCACATTTCACATAGTGTTGCTTTACAAAGAATTGAAGACTGGGCAGGGAGGAGGAATTTGCTGAAATCCTGATAGTTAAGAGAGATCCACCTATTTTCTGATAATGCATTTTTCCCATTTCTTCCCGCAAAGATATACTATTGTACAACAACGTTCTCTTGCTTCTAAAATGCTTTCTCTCTGCTTCAAACCCAAAAAAGTCTAGACTAACTATTTTAATAAAAAATATACCTGGTCTTTACCAGAGGAAAAGGGCTAAGCCTAACCGATATGGTGCTGATCCTGTGTCAGTCTCAGCTTTGATGCTAATGTCACTGACCATCCTGTCAGATGGTCTGGGAAAAACATGCATGGGAACTGAGCGGGTGTATGGCTGGGACTGAGCAAATAATTAAAAGACAAAGCACAAACAAAATCCTCCCTATCTAAGAGGACACTGAAACTTCTAATAAATATATACTTTCATTCTAAATATGTATTTTTAGAAGTGCTCAGATAGAAGAAATAGTCATTTCTGTCCAAATCACATACCACAGCTTTCTAATTCAACAAACTGGATTTCAGGAACATTCATTTTAAAAAAGTTTGTGATGTCTCTCTCCCTCACATTAGCATACTGTTCAATGGCAGTTATCATCAGTATTTTGGTACTGGCTCATGACCCCCCGTCACACATAACATTTACTTGCTCTCTCCCATACAATCCAACAACTATGCTGTTCCAGCAAGGCTGCTATCCAACACCTCTCTCCAGGGACAGGAAGGAATTTTAGAAGGACTGGATAACACTACAGTATCTAGAATGAAAGTGAAATAAGATCTGAAGAGAAACTCCTGAAAATCCAGAGGAAAGTTCAAGAAAAGGGAAATTTATTTTCTTAAAATTTAAACACAGCACAGGGAAAAAAGTGATCTTTCACCATCTTTGAGTGACTATGCTCTCATCACTATGTCCTCTAGATAGTCAGGGATACAACATAATTAATGAATATCGGTAAAGTAGAAGCCACCATTCACTATTCTCTTCAGCACAGATTTTATTCAAGTTAGAACTAAAATAAACAAGTCACAAACCAGCATCAGTTTGAAGCATGTTGCATGCAGACAGAGCTCAGTAAATGCATGCTTCCTTGCATAGGGAGCATCCACGCCAGGAATCATAAGTCATGCCACTACAAATAAAAAGCTGCTTAAATGGGATTTATTCTCTGGAACACCATCCACTGCTGCACAAGTACGCACAGAAAGATGAAACAAAGGTCACTGGTGATTAACTCATGCAAAGACTATTTTAAAACCATTCTATTTATCTTCTGCTCTACTTTCACCTCTATAGTAGTAGATGTTGTTTTAAAAAGTCTCCCTTTACTACAGGATTCACGAAATAGAACAGTGAAACATTTAGAGTGAAATCCACACAAAATATGTTAAGTATCAGCTCCAGAGTTACCCAGCAAGTGCATGCCAATACAGCGAAATTGAACAAAACCACCCCTTAGAAACACTGAACCTTTTAGACACCTTACAAATTATGCACAGATACTCTCTGCATCCCATGAAGAGAAAACCAAATTTACTAACAAGAAAAAAAAATAAAAAATAATTAAAAAATCACAACTCATTTGAAATCCTCAAAACGGATTTTAGCTGAGGGACACAGCAGTTATTATATATGCTAATTTTCCAGCTATTCAGAAACAAAGTTACGAGAAAGGGGAAAAGAAAGGACTGAACAGAAATAACTAGCAATTATTAGCTTATCATTCAAAGAGTTCTTAGTGTTTATCTGTATCATAGCACTAAAACAAAGAACACACGTAGTTTTCTATCACAGTTACTCTTTTTGTATCTATCCTTTTTAAGTAGTCATGCTGGAAATGGTAAGTTAAGTCAAAAATGCTTGTGGTACTGCCTGCTGCTGTTTTTGTTTTTCTGAAAAACTCCAAGCAGAAGATATTTACAATCTTGTCCTGCTTTCCACACATTTTGAACTAGCTCCATTACCTGAATGAAACAACTGGGAGCAGTTTGCACTTTGAAATGCTTTTAAATGATAGTCTTTAGTCAGCTGCAATTACGGTTAGACTTTCATACATTAACACTTTCTGTTTTCAAGCTGCACTGTTTCTGAGACATTTCCTCTTTTTTTTTTTTTAAAAACAGGACTTCAGGACCCTTCAAACAGGAAGAAAGTACCTATCGTGAAAAATAAAGCAGTCTTAAGCAATTATTGTATTTTACTTTCTTAATCTGAAAACCCTTTTTCCCCGAAGATGAAATTACTTACTTCCAAGCTGCCTCGCTTTATTGGATTCAGTACTAGTAGCTTCTTAAGTAGATTTTCACAGTCTGTGGACATATAGAATGGAATGCGGTACTTCCCCCTCAGCACTCGCTCCCTCAGTTCCTTTAAAATAAAGTTTTAAAGTTGAGCCTACTAATGACGTAGAAGATTTGAAGAGAGTAAAAGCCAAGCTTTCACATTGTGACTGTACCTTTAGATTCTGACCATCGAATGGCAATGATCCGCTTACTAGCGTGTACAAAATCACCCCAAGGCTCCACACATCCACTTCAGGACCATCGTATTTCTTTCCTTGGAAGAGTTCAGGAGCGGCGTAAGGTGGGCTTCCACAAAAGGTGTCCAGTTTATTACCGACTGTAAATTCGTTACTAAAACCAAAGTCTGCAATTTTAATGTTCATGTCTGCATCAAGTAGAAGGTTTTCTGCCTAAGAGAAAAATAAAAGAGGAAAAGGACAATTTATGTATCAGAATAAGGCCAATATATTACAGCATATCATTTATCAATAAATGCAAAAATATTTCTTTTTCTAAAATGGTTCACCATCTGTATCTTTCTTTCAGAACCAAAGAAACTAACCCCCCGAATACATCACAAAGATTAAAAATCAACTGTGTTGACTCAGGAGAATATAACTGTTAAAAGCAGTTAAATAGGCTTGAAAGTCAGCTACTGAATCAACTATGAAGATCTTCTTTTCTGGAAGAAATAACTTAGTTCAGCTTTAGACTGAAGTATCTAGACATCTGAGAACAGCAGTTTCAGCCAACTTCCGATGCCAAGGAGCACAAATCTAATCCCAGACACTACCTGCCATTTTGGTGGGGTAGAAGTTAGAAGGGATTTAAGACTTTAAAAGCTCTTTTCTGCTTACAAGATGAAACACTTCAAGCTATGTGCTGTATCTTAGCATTCTGCACCATAAAATTATCTCCCCTTTATTATTAGCATTTGCTTTAGCAACAATAACACCAAGGTGTTTAAAACTCAAGTATTACACTCTGTATGAAAAATGCATGTATTATACATCTAAGAATATTAATGCCTGTGCAGCAATCATCATGTAAATGCAATGTATCACACAAACATAGATGCAAGCATTCAGGAATCTGAAGAGTCAATGAATAGTATCTTATATTTAGTACCACAGGTACGTCGGAAGATTAAAACAGCAAAGTTAGAGAAATACTAATAAATTATTGGAAAAACATAAAATGCCTTTCTCAAAATGCAAGGACACTGTGCAAGGAGTGCAGCAGAACTGTGCCATGTTTACTCATCTAACTGGGTCCCGGCTCCTGATCTGCGTATCAGCAACACAGGAGCAGCACTGAGCAGTGCAGGAATCCTTCTTCAGCAGTAGGACAAACATTAGCCAGAGCAAAGCATTCACCTAATTACTAAACATCAGTTTTACAGCAAACACAGACATCTCTCATTGGATGCTATGCTCAGAATTGGTCCCAGAAAATAAAAGAAGTCTCAGTTCAGGATCAGATAAGCAGCAATCAATTTGTTAGTTGCTTTGATTATAAGGGTAAACATGATTTTGTTTGGGTTGGTTTGTTGTTTTTATTTTTAGTAATTTCACTTGCACTCAATGAACAGAACAGGAGACAATTAACTACCAGTATATCAAGCCAATAGCCGCACACCAGAATTTAGCCTTTATCAGGAGTAAAAAAAAGCCCATTTTTACAAACTAACTATCCTGGAAAATCTCTTATTTTCCCAATTTATGACCTGTAATCTCAGCTGGTTCCAGCTGATGTGCCTGCAGACAGACTCACAGAGATATCTTCCACATTTGACAGCTTTCTACATTACTGCACAAAGACTTCATTTTCCTCGTGGTGAAAACATTGCTGTAAGTGCAGCTGCTCTGCAATTACAATAGTCCTCCTAGTTCAACAGTACTCTGCTACCCAAGTACCCCATGCTTTTACGTTCCTTACTAGAAACGTTCCTTATTAGAAAACCCCTTTCTAATATGCCAGACAGAAAGACTATGCTCTCGTTGGTTACATGTTCAGAGCAAAAAGTATTAACAGTCACTGAAAAGGTCAGACAAGTTTTGTGCATCACTGGATGAGCAAAGTTGGAATTGGTTACAGCCCTTTCTATGCAAGCTGTTTATAACCACAGAAAATTAAAAGGAGACAGTTTAGTTACCCACAGGCCTTGCACTCCCTCCACTTCTGCCAGAATAGCCTGGACTAACTTGCACGTTTTCATACATGTCTTCCCAGTTTAGTCTGAAGAAACTCACATTTGCTGGAGTTTACCCTTTCTGTTATTAAAGCCAAAGACGCTTATGAAAAATCTCCAAAGTGGTGCCAGACCTCTGCCTTGTGATGCTAAAAATGTCAAATGGTCAGCATGCTGATACCATGGGGAAAGTCAACAGAAGCAGATGTGAACGCAGACACAACTTTAAAGTTTTTTCTTCCTTCTCTGCAGCTCCATGAGAAGAGTTTAAGTGAGACAGAGATGACACATAACATTTGGAAAAGAGAGATGAAGTGAGACCACCACCTCAAAGCCATACGCTAGTTTGACTGGCTCTCAATCACATCTAACGCTGAACTTTCCAAATGAGTCCAGCATAAGTCCATCCAAGAGAATATGGAGAGAGAAAAGCAAACAAAGACATGATTTCGGACCCCGCCTACCTGTCGTGCAAGGAGGAGGTCAGCAGCAGAGTACCTGTGACAGATGGTAAAAGGGAACCTGCACAAATGCTGCGAAGCAGTTTTGGATAGTCCTGCGAGCAATGCAGCGAGCTGTATGTGTGCAATGGAACTAAGAAATGAACGAGGGGTGGAAGCTGTGATGGGATCTGGGAGAAACACCAAGATGGAGGATGTTAAATAACTGCAGCGGTTAATGCGGTAAGACTCAATAATATCACTGGGCTGAGCAAGCCTGTGTCAGATAAGCACAAGGAGATGGCTGGCTCCCTACTCCCAGCCAAGTACAGGGCCGAGACAACCAGTGAAAGCACCTTCGGGAAAGCTCAACAACAGCGGCTGCAGTAAGCTCCAGGGAAACATTCACAGGCTCCAAACTGCCACGCAAGATGGGGACTTTCTTACAAACCAAGATTTCTATGAGATCCAGCCCTTTCCTTCCTTGCATTCTGACTTCAGAGTGCTGGCAAGGCACCTCCATCATCAGATGACAATGGTCCTGGGGCAGGGAGGACTCAGCAGAAAAAGATGCATTATCCAGCACCATATGCACACGCAAGAGCTAGAGTATTAGTGAACAGATTTGTAAGCAAGATTGAGAGCATGCTGCAGTGTATTAAAAGAAAGTTAAGACAAAACATACCAGTGAAAAAAAACCCCGACCCTTAGGAATTTTTCAACCTCAGCTTTTCACAAGTATTTAGATACATGAGTAAAAAAGAACTTGCATCAGTGTTTTCTTCATAAACATACAATGATACCAAAGCAATAGCACAAGCCAACTTTTAAGTGGGTGAAGATCTTGTGTCCAAGTCCCATGATACCTAAACTCGGCACGAAGACAACTTCAGACTGAAGGCTTAGGTTGTATCTGCAATTGCTGAACTCTATAACATGGTCTGGTATGTTTATACAGATAGATTACTAGAAAGCATCAAAAAAAGGAATTCTGATTAATTTCTGTTTAGCTTCAATTTATTTTTCCACCTGAATTCAACACTAGCTTATAAACCAGAAGCTCAAATGGATTAAAAACCTAACATATTTCTTATGAAACAGTAAGAATAGACCATTTTATATATTTTGCAATATATTTGAACTGAAAATATTTTAATTAAGTAGTGCTAACTGGTATCATTGAACTTCTGCAGCTTCAGCGGTAGATATCTGCATGCCAGCAGGTATAGTTCTTTGGAGTGCCTGTCTTTTTATTAAATCCAAAACTGGAATGAAAGTAACATGTTCTGTTCTTGTCTCTCCCCTGTTCCAACAGGGAGGCTACATTATTTTGGTGCTTCAGAAAACTGAGAATAAAATACAAGTGACAGTTCCCTCATTCACATGTTTGAGGCATTCAGAGACAGTGGCAAGGATAAATATATAGAATAAAATTAAGTCCACACTGTCTACCAGCAAAACAAAAAATAAGTAACAGCCTACCTTAAGATCACGATGAACTATGCATTTCTGGTGACAGTACTGCACAGCAGATACAATCTGAAATACCAAGATGATGAGTGAAATATTTTATTTCAATCTCAGTGTAAGTTTTCATACATAATTCAGTCATTTTAGCTCCTGATATGATTCAGTAGAACATAAGAAATTAATAAATAAAGCTTTCATTTTAGAAAATATTCATGTAAGTTTCATTAAAGCTTAAATACAAAAACTCAGTGTCCCTAAAAGCAGTCCATTTTCTTATTTAAAAAGTTAAATGAATACTCTCCAAGGTAATCAGAGAAACATCTATTTTAAATGAAGATCACCCAATAGCAATAACTATAAAAGGAAATTACCCCACCACCACCACCCCAACAGCTGGATGTACCACTGCAGATTTTACCTTCTGAAATATTGGCAGCATATTTCTGCAATTCATCCCTAACAGAATAGTTCATTCAACATTTTCATATACATCTTTCATATATGTAAAACAAAAAATGAGTCGCAAACAGGAAGCTAAAAGCAGTTTCTTTACATGTTAATTATATACCTTAATTCTGAAAAATACCAACTTTTATTTATATAATCAAAGCTTTTTACAAAAAAATCACTAAAAAAAGGGTAAGAAAAAGATTAAGATGAGAAAGTTTGTATTAAGACTATAAAAACCCGTTACAGAATACCCTTCATACAAAACCGTGACATGACATAGCAATACATGTCATCATGTCAACATCTCTATATAGAATACTTGTTCAACTCTAAAATAATCAGAAAAGGATTAAAACTTCAAGTGAGTCACAATAAAAAACATGGCTCTTAGGGACACCCACTAAAAAAGAATGTAAAACAGTCTTACTATTTTTAGATAGTACGTAGGAAGCAGATATTTTTCTCTTCAGGGATTTTTTTCCACTCCAGCTTTAACAAACATTATCACAACAATGAATATTTTTTTAAAGTAAAAGAAGTATGCTTACACTCATGTCTATCTGAAAACACCATAAATAGAAACACAAGAAAGAGTGAATGGTAATTTCATACCTGCCTGAATTTTGCACGAGCCTCTTTCTCTTTCATTCTTCCATGTGCAACTAGGTAGTCAAACACTTCTCCTGACCATGACAAGGACAAAACATCAACCCTATTGTCCAGGTTTTATTTTTGACTGTCATGCACAAGCAAATCATGCTTGAAAACACCCCCTCCCCTCCCCTCTTCTGGGAGGGAAAGAAAATAGAATCAGCCAGGAAAAATTCGTTTTTACCGTATGCATTGGATTTCATTTTTCAGACATGTAATAGTCAAGAAACATAAAAATTGAACCCTTCATACTAAGGCTTCTTCAATTTAAAAAATAAATTTGCTTTAAAAATACTGTGAAACAAAAAAAATTTGACTTTAGTAATGAAAAACATTTGTGTTGCATATGAGGCACGCTGGGAAACAGGCAACTTCTTACGTACCAGATGTTTCGCATATCTCTAGCGGCTTCACTTAACAGTATCTGTATTACTTCTGGTTTTTCCTTCTTATTCTCTAACAAAGCTGTTCAAACACCTTTCAGATCCTCATCTTTGCACTGTTTGAGGAGCAGCTTTTCCTAGCTGTCCCTAGCCCCGTGCTGGATTCCTTTCCCACATTCAAACATTTCCTATTCAGATGCTAAGCAGCTTCTCAAGCAGGCACCCACTATCCCTCTCACTCTTGATCCTGCTGGTCCTCCTTTCCCGTGTTCCTTATTCCCATCCCCCGGACCTGCCTCTCCAAGTGCTTTGGAGCACGTTTTCAAGATAAAATGAGGCACCAGTGCTTGCCTAAATATAGCAGATAAACACCGAGTCACGTTTTTGCCATAACCAGCCCCAGATTATTTCCTGATATTCCAGCAGAAACCTCAGAACTGCAACTACCCTTAAGCACAAACCTAACAGGTTACTTCATAGAATGTGATGGAATCAAGAAAGTCTGCCCTGGGTAGTCTGTTAGGACTGTTTTAAGGGTCAAATTGGAATAACCCATTAACCATAAAATACTTAAATCTTTCCTAGACACGCAACTGGCATGGCTTTCCATATTTCAGTTTATCCTTCAAGCAGAATTAAGAATCCACTTACCCCCACTGGCATATTCCATTACCAAATACAATGTCTTTTCAGTTTCAATAACTTCAAATAATTTTACTGCAAGAAAAATGAATGAGAAAGATTGCAGCAGGGAGCAAAAGCACAGCACAAAAAAATTATACTCATGAAGTGAGTATAGTTTATGGCCAGTGATAACACTAAACCATACAAAAACTTTATATCCTTCAGGTTAGCACTCTTTTGAGAGGGGAAAAAGGCAAAAATTAATTTCTAAATCAAAGTTGATAATAAAGCATATTAATTCACAGTTTTCTCAGAAGTTTATGCACACTGTACAAACGAGTTCATGCTGAAATTAGTGTTTAATTTGACACAGACATCTTTAAGATCATACAAACCTTCCCTGTTTTGCTAGGAAACCGCTCCCAGTTAGAAATCTGAGATTCTGACCAACTAAAAATCGAGTGGATACCAGAAACGTCAAGTCCGAAAGACCTTCCTCAGATTGTAATGGTAACCACTCATTTAAAACAAACACCCCCACCGCCACCCCCAAGAAAACAAAAGACAGCAGAAGCTAAGAATGCTGGAAAAGCAACAAACAATTCAAGGGATGAGAAGGGAGTGCCTAGCATGTAATAACTTGTACGCCTCGTCCATACCTTGTATGCAACAAGCCCTCTGGCCGATTCAGGACCATTAACTGTCTCTGGAACAAGATTGTCCAGCCCTCCCCAGCCAGAAGAATTGTCATCACAAAGTAGGGCCCTGAAGCTGTGGGGTAGGTGAAAGAACTAAAGCAGAAAGGGAAAATTACATACTTTGTAATTCTAATTTCCTGGAAATATCAGTCAGCGGGAATCTTTCCTAGACTGAACAAATGGAGTTTTGCTACTTTCACCTCAGAAACTCATGCTTTTGGCCTCAAAGTCATTTCAATGGACAGAGGGGAGTTGGGGCCCTCAACAGACAGGAGCACTCAGCATCTCCTACTTTGTGTTAATGCTTTCCTGGATTGAGCAATTTATCTCCTCAGAGCAAAATTTGTGTTTCAAGCAGAGTCAATAAGGGAGGTGAGACAATGAAGCATTTACCGAATGCTCACTGCCCTATTATCTCAAAAAAGTTTAATGAACAAAAGCATAGCAGTAAAGTACATTCAAATAAAGCCAAAGAGAGTAAAATGTAAACAGTGTAATAAAAAAAGGTTAGCAGAAATGCAGGGCTCCTACCAATATTGGGATGATTCAGTATCTTCATTATTCGTACTTCTCGAAACAACTGTCAAGGAAGCAAGACAATTTTCTTAGAGTGTATTTATTAGGGAAGAGTTACACAAGATATGCAATTGTAGATGGCAAAAAGGAGCAGCATAAGCCACACAAAATAGTATTAGCATAAAATACAGATATAGTGCAATGAGCTCCAGAAAACATAATCTACATCTTATACATTTTATAACAATAAGCACTACTAACTACATCTCAAAAACGGACTAATTATTAAGCTTCATACAAACAGACACAGATAAGTTTTATAGCCCTTTCTAAAGTTTTGCATTGACTCAAAGCAACAGATTATTCACACAAGTTTTTATCTCTCTGCTCCAATTTCTTTGGCGATGGACAACTACCCTGAATACACAAATGTAACTGCGGGTGCAAATACAAGGTGTGGTACCACAGAAAAGCCAAACACACAAATCTTAAAATGGGATTAGATACCGGGAACCCTGATGTCCCCGAGTCCTGACGCTTCACAGAGGTGAAGCAGGTGAGTTCACTTGTCTCACAACTACCAAATTTTACAAACGAAAGGAATCCAAAATGACTACATAATTCTGTTACTCTATAAGCTTGCACTGTTTTACTTCAAGTGAACAACATATCTCCATCATCAAATCTATTTACTGTGCTGCGTGCTCTTTAGCCCTGTGTTGGGCTGAATCAAGATGATGAAATGAAGGAAGAAAAGCTCACTGGCTTCAGCGTAGCACTTAGACATTTTGGAAACATCTTAGCACTACAGTCCTCCTTATTGAGAAACCTGGCTCAACACAGCAGTACGTTGTTGCTGTTTTGCTTGTCTGATGTCTCAGCAGACATCTGTCCCTTCATTTTCAAAGTTAGTCCCATTTGTTCAGATGTTACCTCTGCAAAAGGGCACAATAACGCAAGCCAGAGATCGAACACCTCCTCAAAGAGCAGCACTTTAGTTTCTATTTTATGATGGCTGAGGCTACAAGTTAAGAGAAATTAAAATTCTTTTGCCTAGACCACTGATGGTTTTTTACTCCATTTGTCCAACTTAGTCAAAACATTTCTAAAATTCCGCATTTGCTCTACAAGTTAAGACTACACATCTTTTTGAAATTCAGCTTTTGATGAAGTACTACTATTGCAGTTCTATATTTACATTATTTAAGTATTTCACGCTAGTTACTATCCACTTGCCTTATAATTGCTATTAAAACAATTTCAGAAGGAAGTAAAGACTATAAAAACATTTCTCTGAGAAAACATGAACAGTATGATTGCAGTTTTCTTGTGTTCAAAATGTAACACATGGATATGTAATACTATGCACTAGAATTAACTTTAGCAAATATTCTTGTTTCCTCATAAAGCCAGTTATTCTGATGATGAAAATATCATACCAGGCTGTTTTTTGTGCATTTTTTGTTTTCATAAGGATTGGAATTTGTTGCACAAGAAAATGTTTCTCAGCTATATCGATATCAATCAGTCAGAAGCTAGCAAATCTAAAGCAATAATTGTACCACTTCAGAAAAGCTGCTAAGCAGGTATGTGGAAAAACTGCAATTCCTGCCAAAAGACTGGAAAGATATTTCATAACTTAACAGTGTTAATGCTGGCATAAAAGTTACAGCAATGAACGTATGCCTTCATAAGCAGGATCAAAACATTAGTCTTCTATAAATAAAATAATTTCAAATATAGAAAAAAGATCATTAAGAAACAGAATCTTACATGTAATGTGAAGCACACAGTAACTGAAAAAAAGAAAGTCCATGATTCTATTCAATATTCTCACAGGATTTAGACGTTTACTAATTGGTTTAAGATTCAAATTGATTTCACAGTGGCATGAAATTCTGTTCCACATAGTATGTAATTTTTTCCTCCATAAAGGAAAAAGCCTATTAGGAAACGGACATAAAACTCTATCTTCCTCAACACAGAACATTACTGACCTCTAGCCTGATGCAGATACTTTGGTATATGAAAGAAATATTTACTTGCTCCATTTTTGAATCAAAGTACTGGCTTAGGTTTATTCCATACAAATGCTGCTGAAATTTTTTTACAACATGTTGTATTATATATCCTGTTGAATAGACCTTTTTCAGAAAATTGAAGCATATGTTCTCACACAAAAGCAGGTACACAGTCCTGATAGTCACCGTGATTATTTCAAGAGGAAGTGGGTAGTCTCAACCTTTTGAAAGAAAGCAGCTATTCTAAGGCAAATTCTAACTGAACTCAAAATCACAAAGTGAATCTGGGTATTTCTTGCTGGTTAGTGGCTCTGAGGTGGTGGTCTTGTTTGCTTGGGAATTTTGACTCTAAGGCACTTCTAATGTTGGTGGAAAAGCGTTTGCATTATTAGAGCAAGAACTGGACAAGGCTGAAGCAGCCGAAGTTATCTTAGGTGATGCTCATCTGCACAAATCACGTCAAGCACAAGTTGAATGGAAACTGGGTATTTTATTTGACAGACAGGATGGTGTCAGCCTCCCTACAAATGTATGAGAGCAGGGAAAGAGAGAAATCAGCACAGTAAGAACTGACAGAATAGTTGAAATCTTGGAATCTACTTGCAGGTACCTACTGACTAAATGCCTTGCTCTGAGAAAAGGTTAAAGAACCCTAAGTGGTTGTACTCCCTACAAAACTCCTCTCTCAACTGCCAGCCCACTACTGAAACTACAGCGTACAAGACTGCCTTCTTATGGAAAGACCCATATTCCTCAGAGTTCATGTTTTACAGTTGTTATTGGCTTCTGATCATTTTCCAGCAATTGTTTACTTGGAAACCAACATTTTCAGACCTTTTTTCTGAAGTAACTCAGGTATAGGCATCTTGCAAATTAGGCAGATGTAACTTACGTATTTCATAATACTACTACGTAACTAAGTCAAGCAGCTTTTCTAAAGCTGCTGGAGTGGCAGATATCTCCCAACCCCAGAGGAAAGAAATTGTTTGAAAGGCTGAAAGAACTGAAATAACAAAACAGCACTGCGTGGATACCACAAACACAGCCACATTACACCTCGTGTAGTTCCTGGCCCATATGGGCCAAGGTGATGCATAAGGGTCTCTCAGCTGTGGAGTGGGGAGAAAGGGCAGTGAACCTTAGGTCCCGTATAAATGCACGTTTATACAAATTAAGAAAATGCCAATGTTCACTCCTCCATGTTTCTCTCACAAGAGAGAAACAACCTAGAAAATCTCTGAACGATGGATAACATGAATAAAAATGTTAACAGTATTCAAGTATTAGAGTACATATTTCACACTGCAACTCTGCATTTTGTAGAGCACTACTTTGAGATAAATCTTCCCCCTCCACTTTCCTCTTGCAGAAGCATGCTTGTTATTGGCACTAGTTACATCAATAACTATGTATTTACAAATAGCGTATTTTTAAACAATAGCCACTAGAGCCCTCAATAACACCCAGGATACATCTCTTTCTTTGCATATAGAGGTATTACAGCAACAAGACCATAGTTATTTCCTACAAAGCCAAGTTCATTAATTTTACAGAAACCTGGACAGAACTGTGAGATTAGTTCTCCTTTCACATCAAGACGAGCCTGCAGGATTATATAACGATCTACTTTACTGATAAAAATAGTGCTTCCAGAACTCACGCACACCTCTGTTTTCTTGTACTCTCTCTCAGAAGGTGTAAGTGCTCCCTGACTTCTCTCCCCCCACCCCATCACAAAAGCTCTTGAACAAGTATCTCCTTGTTGCAAATGGGTTGTAGCCTCAATAGCTTCCCTTGCAGTAGAGGATGGCCAGTACCATACTCAATTCATAGAACTCGTACCTATGGAAAAGACATAAGACTTGAAAATTTGATTCCTGCTTTTCCAGTTTCATTTTTCAGGGTACAGACTGCAGAAAGTGCAAAGATCTTCTGTCACACCATTGCTAACACTTCTACTTGCTGTCAGGTTAACACCTACATTTAAGATTTACTATTTTAAGTCAGTACAATCAAACTAAAACTCTTCAGTTAATCAGGGTTTTTTCTTGCTTTGAAAGATGTGCTTGAATGCTTCTCCAGTTTCTGAATCATTACTGAGAAGCGATGTTGCAAAAAAGTGCAGCTTTCAATAGGTACAATATTGAAATCTTTCCAAGTCTTCTACTACTACTTCTTCACTTCTGTTCTGCATTTCTTAACAGAAAGAACCTAAGTTTGAGGCTTTGGATTTGCTTAAAGAATAAGCAGCAGCCCGTTGATCCCTAGAAAGGGAAAATCTGAAATTGTACTTGCTAATAAAACCTATTAAGAAAAAAAAAGCACCTTCTGCTCCACTAGCAGTTTGCAAAAGAACAGAATGCTATTTCAAAAACATCCCTAGTGAAGTCAGTACAAGCAGACACTTCCAATGTAGCAGACATGCAGAAAATAGAACAGCTATTTTGATATAAATTCTATTTATGATGAAACCCAAATACATACATTTGGGAACCAATTACAATCATGACAGTGGAAAAAATTCAGTCAGTACAATATGTTACTATCAAGACAGCAAGTTCACAGAAAAGCCAACTCTGTCTTCTAAACAGGTGCTCACTGAGTAAGATAAGAACCACATTCTGAACAAAACAAAAACAAAATAAAAGGCAGTGCCCTTAATTCAATACTGTTTATCTATTTAAAGAGCTAGAGGTCCTGAAGCAAAAAGTCTATTACAACTTAAGAACTATTGCATTGCCTGCATAAGGATGCAAAATTAAAAATTCACAAGCTCAGCTTACTTATTTTAACTTAAAATAACTATGTTAAAAGTTAAAATAACTATGCCTGCAAAGTATCCTGTTCGTACTATACGGCATAAGTAACATTGGAGAGTAGCAAAGAACAAATTTAACACTTTCTCTGCTTTCATACCTATTACTAATTACAGATCCAGCTTGTACAACACTTCCAGCAACTGAAGTACGTGCTCAAGTATTTCTGTTTACAAAACAGAACAGTGCATGAGAAGCTATGATGCCTCAACTCAATTTACTCAATTAGGTCAGTAGCAAATACTAAAGCATAAGCTACTTGCACTTGACATCCTCTATACAGAGTGAAAAAGGAAAGTCACAGGGTCATTCACAAGACCAAAGATCACTACATATTTGTCTTCGTTGATTACTAATGTGTGTCAAAAATGACTGAAGCTCTAAAGGTTTTGCTAAACTACATAGTCTCCCAGCTTTGAAGTTCTAGAAACTGTCCTCTTGGCTATGCTAATTTAGATGGATTCAAACTCAGGAGTGGTTATTTTTGTTGCAGAAGCTTACTACAGTATTTGTCTACAAAAATTCATTAGAAAAGTGTCTGTTCCTATTAAAACAGTACTACCATCACCGTTTCCCTTTCCCAACATTACCTCTTGAAGAAAAATTGACTACTTAGTAGTGCTACAGTACAATCCTGATGATAAAATTATAAAAATTCATGTTACAGTTACACTATATAGTATGTAAAGTATCACAAACTTTATAGGAGTTCAGTGCAGAAAGAAAAATAAAGATGACAAACATGGAGATTTCATGGAACAAATTTTTTTTAAAATTTCAAATTTACAATACAGAAATGGCTTATCAAAATACTAACAAATAATTCTAAGCATGCTGATGAACTACTCTCCCACCCCTATTTGCTTTAAAAAACTACAGGTGCTAGAGTGACTGTGCAAAAACTGCTTAAGCTTACCTAAAAGCTTTCAGGGAATCAATATTTAGTTTCACTCAAAATTGTCAGAAAATTGTAAGAAGCTGAAAACTTTTAGAGCTTCAAAAGAAACATTCCCCCCCAAACCCCCAAATTACAATCAAGATGTCAGAAGAAAAACTTTATACCAACAAATTATCACACTTCCCAGTACAAACAGAAGATGCATGGGATAAATATTTCTAGAAGTTACTGAAGAAGAATGGAATTGTGGTTAAATCACTAACTTCAGTCTTTATGTCTGCTATAAACTGCTTCTAACTGTAGCTAAAAATGTTTCTCTTGTTATCAGCTTCCCACTCAGAAAACAAGTAACAGCAGCAATGTCCTAGTATATGAATATTTTGTGTACTAACTTGTGCAGTGTGACAGCATCTTGTGTAGGTTAGAAAAATTTCTTTTACATTTGGAATGATTTTTTTAAACAACTATTGAATAATTTTATGTGAAATACTACTTATTTATCATTAAAGCAGTTATCTCATAAGTTCTTCATGCTTAGTTTTCCAGAAAATTTTAATGCTTTTTACCCTCTCATTGCTTAACAATGAGACAAACTCACTTAGCTCTCCAAGTGTAAATACCAAGCTAAGTAGGAAGCAAGCTACGTGAGCAGCACAGGATTTCCCCAATATGCTCCGTCACATACTGCCTCTGTGGGTCCCTCTTCACTAGCTCAAATATTAGCAAAGAGATTTGCTTAATACAGCATATAGGACTTAAGGATAGCACAGCATTTGCATGGACTCTGCACAACAGGTTGAATTTAAAAAAAAAATTCCAAAGAACCCACACTGAAACAAAAATACTACAGAAGAGAAATTAAAGCAAATAAAACAAAGAATTAAAAGATATGAAAGAAAAAGTAAGTTAGAGCAAAGTTGTTTATAACTCCCCATAACCAAAGTTACACAATAAAACAAATGTAATGGCAGCCAGAGATAGAAGAACAGCAATAGACCCTAGCCTCTTTCTCTCATTCTACTGCTGCAGATAGTGGCGGTCTAGTATTTGTAAACAAAAAATGTCTCAAATTTTTATACAGGGCAACGTCCAGTAGGACAATACAACATTTCTGTGCTTCAGTCAAAATCAAACATACGCACAGTTCAATAGTAAAAAAACCCAAACCAAACAAAAGCACCCAGGGTTTTGTTAAAACACTTATCACAATGGTTATGAGGGTCTTCTGAATTTCTATCTACAGGCACAAACAAATAAGAATGTTCTAATTATGTTCAGTCATTCTGTCAATTCTATACACAAAAAAGTAATTGCCAAAGGTCCCTTAACAAATATTTTAAAGTTGAAAGAATACAAAAACAAAGGTAAAAAACAACATCAAAGCCATAATAGCACTCAGTCCACAAAAAACAATTACTACATTGAAGAAAAATCCAAGAAAAATACTATCCTTTACAGCATTACATCTTGATTTAGTATATAGATTACTACTGTTTAGAATATACACTACTTGTGTACCTAATTACAGTAGGATACCACTGTCTCCCAAGATCATACACACACAAAGATGTTTGTTTATCAAGAAAAAGGAACCAAGTATTTTTGCCAAGTAAATCAGAGATTACAGTACAACCGTTTATAGAATTTCAGATGTTATTGGTGTATTCTTACCTTTTGCAGACTAGTAGGATTTAGCTGGGTTTTATCTATTATTTTCACAGCAACCTTGGGAAAAAACAACCAACCATGGATTATTAAACTCAGAAAAATGTTTGAACAAAAATATATCACACCTCTGAGCGAAAGCATAGATGTGCATATATGTCTGCTTTTATGCATTTCATCAAGCAAAATTTCTCGCCTATTAGAATCTACCAGCAGGAGCTTAGAACCAGATGGTACCACCAAGGAATCAGTTTTATAATTCTGTCCGTGTTTGGACAGAACGTTATCCTGTCCACTGCAAAATCAGGCCCTCCAAACCCAAGATGTATCTATCAACAGATTTCAATACCAAGGATCGATCGATCAACGAATGGATTATCAATATCAATGCCATCTATACATCAATAGACTTCTCATTGGTTTTGGAAATGCTTGGGGATGAATCGACCCCCTCTCAGCCCCAAAATACCGCTTGACGTGCAACAAACTTTTTGATCTCTTCATGAAGACATCACATTTTAAAAAAGGGGGTGAGTGGTTAGAGGGAGAAAACTTGGGCACCTCAGTTAACTTTTCTTATATCCTGAAACAGCCTTTGCATCTTCCTTTATGATGACAAAAAAATGTGGGCTTTTTCTATTTAGAAGAGACAGGTAAAAGAATAGCAAAAATACTTATTAGAAAGATAGCCAAAGAGAATATAAAACACAGTCAGCCTTTTTTTTCTTTCTTAAAGGCTTACCTCTCTTCCAGTAAGCACATGCCTTGCCAGTTTCACTTTGGCAAAATTTCCTTTTCCTATTGTTTTCAGTAAGCGATAATTTCCAATGTGAGGATGCTCTTCATTGGTAGATGTAATGGAGTTTCTGCATCGGGGGATGTTTTGTCTGCTGCTTGACTTGATAGGCTGGACGTGCGGTTCAGTATATCCATCCACAGAGGTATGCTGGAAGGCAGATAAAACAGGTGGGAATTTAGCTATTTGGGTTTAAGACAGTTGCAGCAGAATAGACTAAAAGCATAAAAAGCTGTAGAGGGGAGTCATTTATTAACTTTTACAAGTATAACTGATAACTTTGGATGGTAACTTAAGTAGAACATGCTGTCTTTGGGCAGAGTTTGATGCATGTCTCAAGAAAAAAAAAAATCTGTAGAAAGATTTGTCCAGCTCCAAAAGCAAAACTAGAGACACTTAGGCAGTAATCAACAAACCATTACAGACCTTTTTTTTAATATGAAACTATGTCAAACTACACACTGCATCACTATGTTGCAAATAAACTTGTCTAATCATAATCAAATTTAGTCTCTTAAATACACAGTACAAAAAATGTTTGTATTTTGGCATATTTGGAAACAAGGTTTCACTCTATTTTTTTCTTAACTTTCTTCATCTCAGATAACGTTATGAGAAAAATATATTTTCAAGTAAGCTTTGTTCCCCAAACCTGTTTGCATCTTCTTTGTAAGTCACAGAAGTTCTCATTCAAGTAACAATCAATCTACATCTTTGTTTAAAAATAATAATCTATTCTTAAAAAGAAAACTCTACAATATCTCATAAATATATTTCAAATCTCAAGAAGTCTGAAGAACTAAAAGGGTATTTTTAATGCATGCCAACACATCATCCCACATTAAATGTTAGTCACTGAAATCTGCAGTGCTTCTGCACTCTTCAACATCCAAGTATATAACAGGCAAGATATAGATGGGGCTTGGAAATGTTCCAAGGAGAAACCAAAATAACAGAAGATGTCATAGGAGCGTTAAGAGTTTCAGTATTTCAAATGCTTTCCAACATTAGTGGCAGATGGGTACAAATGTTTAACAGGTAAAATGTAGCCTCTGGTCTTTTAAGTTACAGATTTTAAGACAGGCAAATACTGTAGGTAGAAACAGTGTCTTCTCAGACTAGCTTTTAGATTTTGTAACAAAGGCATGCTTACTCCCAGCTCACTCAGTGCTTTATGCTTAGCAGAAACTAACAAAACTCAAGATACCTTAATATTTTCCCATCCTTCACTGCTTCAATCTAAAAGTGGCTATCTCAGTATCTTTGTACAAAGCACTAACATAGCCTGTTTCTTTACAGACCAAAGGTTTCTAGATCTTTGACCTCAAGCTGAAAGCAGAGTCAGAAGGCCACAGGTTTCACTATTTCTCCCAATACCCAACCTAACCTTGGTCTATGCTGATCTCACCTGTCACTCCTTATGCAAGTAATTACTTTCTTATACAAAATGCAATTTAAAACAGTGCTTCCAACTTCAGTGTGCATCTGTTTTAGGCTGAAGTCAATTCCCTCCTGTAAAGACCCAGGTTTACAGACAGTCTCACTGAGACGAGTGGAGTTATTTCAGGACGTAAGCACTGGTAGAATTGGGAAAACTAGCTGCAATGCAACCGGAAAAAACAACGAGTATGCCACAACCAGAATGTTCTTCCCAAATGTAGCACAACTCTGCTTACATCACCTCCAGCATTAATTATTCACTATGGCCAGGAGAAGGGTCCTAAATATAATTTTCTGTTTGTCATTTCATTACCTGAGTCTCTCTGCAAAACACTACTTTACCCCTACTGCTAAACCATTTTCCAAATTACTGCAGAACCAAGCAAGCCAGGCATGTTTACATTCTGCGTATCAGACAAACTTATTCAACCATGAAATAACATGCTAGCGATAGTATTCATCCTTTAGAAGCACATAATTAAAATACTTTCTGTGGACTTGAAGAGAGGATCAGGACAGCTCCAGGCAAAGAGGCCTTGAAACATTCCTTCAGCATCAGACACTAGTTCTACATCTGACAAACCCGAGCCCAAACAGAAGCCTCGCCTAAGAAAATACCCCATGAGATCAGTATTTGTATGGTGCTCATAATAAATATTATAGCTGTATCTGGAACCCCATCCAGAGCTACAGCGCTATGCTATACAAGCAAGTTTTAAAAGTCTTTGAGCCTATTTATGCACACAGTTAGATCTTCACTACTTGAAATCCAATGCCTAACAGAGGCATTAGCAACCCTCACATCAATTGCCAATTTAATACAATTCATAGTATTAACCTACTTCCAGTAGATACTTGACGAGATCTTTTAGATAAGCAGTCAGATAGGCAAGCAAAACCAACGCCACAGGCAAAGCAAAAGATGGCTTCACAGCACAGATCATTTTAATGCAGATGTAAGAGAGAAAACAGTTATTTAATCATAATGACAATTTAATGCAGAACCAATCTGAAGTGGGGGGGAGGTAACAAGGTTCATCATCATGATGATTCTGGAATTTGGCATTTTTGTTACAGAAGAACTAAGTCCCTCCAGATAGTTTCTTAATTATTCCCTCTTAGACAGATTATCTTCAGAGGTAAGCATTTTCCCCAGCTATGCCCAAGGATGACAGAAAACATGCATGAAGAAGGTCAAGTTTCTTAGTTTGTGAGCCACATATATATATATATATAATTTCTGAATTCAAACAGCACTGAATGAAATTCAAATTATTCTTTTTAAGTCTTGCAATAGCCCTCTGTTTTGCAGATAAACAGCTTGCTATTGTTGGAAAGCACAGAGGAATTTAAACTAGAAACTCATCAGCTTCTAGAAATCAGCATTCAACAAAACTGAAACATAGCAGGGTTAAGATGTTAAAAAAAAAAAAATCAAGTTACATTACATCCCTGCATCTCAGAGATTATTTCCAAACAATCCTAAGGCTGAATTCCACAGAAGCATGCAATATCTACACTGTCTAGAAAGACAGGCTATGTAGTTTTAAGATCTTTCTGGTCCATTACAATGCGTTCATTCATTATGGATCAGCTACTATGTGGCTATTTAAAAATGGCATTTCAGAAGAACAAGCTCTAAATTCTGAGAATTTTTTCAGGGTGTTGTAAACAAGGCAGCTGTAAAAACCAACACTGACCTTGAAGTTCACTGCCATCTAAAAACAATTCCAGCTAACAACCTGTATTTCCTATACAGGATTTTAATTTGGGATTCTGATATTTCGCTAGATATCTCAGCAATATGTCTTTATATATATAATGTAGTGGGAAACACTGCCTTATTAGTACATCATAAACATGACTCCCCATATGTTCAGTTTATGTCAGTGTTAAATAAAATGTTTAGAAATCAACACATAAAATTAGATGTGTCTTAAAATAAAAGGCAATTTTAAATAAAAAGGTGCAGCAGTTAACAAAAGTTTAGAGCTGAAACAGTCTATTAGAGCAGCCACTCAGGTGTTTTGCATATTAGTCAAGTCTTAACAAAACCTCCCCCGAAAAAAGAAAACAAGGAAAAATCCATACAAAATAAAACCCACCACCTTTTCAGCAATCTCAAAAAACTAATTCTAGCATTCAATTTTAGATTGTGACTGAAGAGAGGTCAATTAACACATATTACTCCTAACTAGGTTTGCTTCTGACACGTTCCATTAAAATTATTACAGAAAGTCAATGGCACTAAAATCCCAAGAGAGCTAACCTGACCCATTGCTTCCCCAAGACTCAAAGCTATCGTTTTCCTTGTTTACCCAAGGCAGCTTTGCAAAAGCAAGATGACACAATGTCCAGACATATTATCTTTGCGGAAGTGCAGAAGAACTAACCCCACCAAGCAGATACAAAGTGTCTGCTCCGCTACTTTACTTATTCAGCATCCTTTAGCCACTTAGCTAGCCACTGGAGTAGTATTCTCACGGATTATACACTGTAATTAAACTTACATCATCACATATATTAACTGTTCTTACAGCTTAGTCTTAAAAAGTCCCCAAAACCATTCTGGCCACCAAACCACACAGCCTTTCTCAATCAAACAACACTGAAGGTCCGTAGAGCCCTTCTGAGTAACAGGGTAACTACAAATACTCATTTGATTAAGCAAACATCTTTGTCCTGAATTTTCCCCTCCTTGAATTACTGCAAGGCAAATTCCTTGGTACAGTCAGCCCATGGAACGAAAGTATGCACATGCGGTGCTAGAAAAGGCACATCATCACATTTCTGCTTTTAATATTATCTCCTGTTCTGAACTTCAGTTTCTCGCAACCAATTTTTATATTCGTAACTCCAAACATTTTCAAGCATGTGCCATACACATGAGCATTTGTAATAGCTGTCATATTTTGCCAGGTAATCAAAACAGCTGGCCCAGACAGAGGGCATCTGAAGGGTTTAGAAGACCATTTTCTAAATGGCTCTGATCTGCAACAGCTCCGATTCACAACACAGGGGAAGGAAAGGGGAGAAAGATGAGAAGTAATGTCCTGGATGTCCAGCTGTTTTTATGTTTTAACTGCTTGTTGTCTGTAACTATTCCTAGGAGCTTCTAGCAAACCACCTCAAGCAAGTACTTTTCTTTTGCTGAAGTAACAATCAAAAGCAGAAGTGTCCAATTTTTTGAAAGACCGTGGTAAACCTCAGTGTAGAAACCAACAAAGATGTTCAGATCAGCTCGTTCTGCATCATAGATCAAGAGCACCCAGAGGTCCAGGTTTAGAGGCATGACGCGTGGTACAACTCTGAACTGCATGAGATGACAGTATACGATCCATCAGCTAGTGCCAGAAGAGGATTCACTCTTCTTCCAAGTAAATCTCCCATCGGCACAAAATCACTTACTGTTGCCACATTCACCCGTCACATTACACTACAATTACTAAAGAACCTCTGATCTCAATCAAAACACTAACAGAGCACTATCTACTCTGATTTTTCATACCTCTCACACATGTAAGAAAATGCTTTGGAGAGGGCAATTAAAAAGACTGAATGTGTGGATGCACATACAATTCTTTTAATAATTTCTTACCAGCAATTAAATGCATACTAGATTATGAATGCATGATAGAAACTTTGTTATAAAAAAAGAAATATTTGAGGTGACCAACCTACTACACTAAAACAGGATAGTATGT